TTTTAGTGTATATTTTATTTGGTGTGCGTCAGTGTTATGCCTGCATATGTGTCTGTGAACTGCACGTGTGACTGGGTTTACTGGTGTGCATGTGCTGAAAACCAGCCCCGGCTGGCCGCAGGCTGCCCATCTCTCCAGCCAGCCTGTGGCCGAAGCTGGTCTCTCTGACCGTTTCATTTTGTAGATCCTTGCGGGTCTGTAACTAACAATTAGGTTTAAAAGAAACAATTGACTCACAGTGTTAGCTGCTAGAATGTTCTGCTTTATCGTGGAGAAAGGAAAAGGAAAATGGTGCGCAGGTAACGTGACCAAAGTTGATTGTATTTCTTGGCTACACAAGTGTATTCACTTTGATAATGGATTCATGTTTTAATATGAATGCTTTCCATATGCATATTACATTATAGTAAATACTTTAACTATTCAAATAAATTTCTTTTTTTTAACTTTTCTAATTTTTAAAAAAATATTACTTATTTTTTATTTGTTTTTTTACAGTTTATTTTAATATTTTGTTTGGTGGATTTTAAAAATTCTTTTTACATGCTTGTAACCCCATCCCTCCTCCCCTCCCAGGTCTACTCTTCCTCCCTTTCTAGTTTTTAATATGAATGCTTTCTATATGCTTATACATCATAGTAAGTACTTTAACTATTCAAGTAAATTTCTTTTTTTGCCTTTCTAAATATTTTTTATTATTCATTTTTAAATTCACTTTACATCCTTGGTGTAGCCCCATCCCTCTTCCCCTCCCAGTCCAAGACTCCCCGCTTCTTTTCCTCAGAAGAGGAGCTCCCTCAAGTAGCTGCAGAGCAATCAGTTACAATGTTACATGTTTGTAGAATCGTATGTCTGTGCATAGACATGTTTTCTTTTTAAAAAGCTTTATTTCTTTACTCTGTTGCTTTGTGTTTGAGTGCTTGTGTGTCTGTGCATGCACCGTGGGCATGCAGTGTCTGCGGATGCCAGAAACGGGCCTTGACTCTCCAGGAGCTGCAGTTTCAGATAGCTGTGAGTCAGGTGGGTGCTGAGCATCAAACCCTTCTTTTCAAAGAGCCATCAGTGCTCCCAACCACTGAGCCATCTCTCTAGATCTGAGTCCTGAGTTTTCTTAATATTTTGTAAAGAAAAAATTTAAATGTCATGTTGAATACATACCAATGCAAACAGATTGACCTGGAACGGTGCATTCATGAAATAAAAAAATCTGTAAGTCTGTTAGAAAGAACTTGATGACAATTTTCCGGTAAAAGGAAAGGCTTTTCATATAAAAAAAGGTCAGCATTAATTTCTTTGTCTGCCATGGAAATTATAGGACATTGTATAGACTGTAGATTATTAGCACAGTAGATGCCAGCAGGGACTCAGAATCAGCTCCTAGACTGTGTTAATTAGGTCCTCTATTGTGTTATTTTATCCTCTGGGCTAACAGATCGAGGAAGGCATTTTCAGAATGCCCCACTATTTTTCTTATGAAGACTGTGTTGAGTGTAGAGGTAAAGCAATTTGATAGCACCAATTCTAATTATTCCATAGTTGGTCCATGCTTGGTCTTAGTTGCAGGACAGAGCTGTGATAGATGTAATAGCTCTGATTATTTTCTTTCTTTCTTTCTTTCTTTCTTTCTTTCTTTCTTTCTTTCTTT